TGATTTCATATTTAAATTGAGACTCTTGGGTTATATCTTGCAGTCACAAAGCAAAACTCTAAAAATACAATTTTTAAAAGTTCCTCTGAGTGCAGATGGTGACTGTTTCACTGAATTTCACTACGTATTGAAGCCACTATAGACTGTTCCAGTAGGGATGTGGACCATCCCTAAGTGCCAGGGAAGCACATGATCATGGTGGTGATATGGTGAATGGCCATAGTTTTCTGACAGCTACTTCATTTCTGTTCCTGACCCCTTTCACCTTTGATGTAGAAACCAATCAAGAAGAAAGGAATAGCAAAGGATGGAAGTCAGAGGCAAGATGGTTTCAATTTAGACACAAAAAGATACTCTTCCAGGAAAATAAAAGTGACTTGGGGCAGTGGAGCAGTAGCTGCCTGTCTGGGGTCCCAGTCGACAGAAACTCCTCCTGGGATCTGCAAACTAACAAAGTCTCACAGAGCTGTGTTCTCTGAGTCTGTAAGTATTCCAGATAACTTCTTATATCATCTTTTGAAAGTAAATGTTGCTTTTTTGATGAGCTAGAGTTTCAAAAATATGTTCACAAATTGCTTGACACTCCCTTCTACAGAAAGTGAAGCTTAATTTGACTCCCCTTGAATGTGGGCTGGCCTTAAGGACTCCGTTCCAGTGAGTTAACGAACAGAATAAGGCAAAAGTGAGAATATGTCATTTCCAAACTTAGGTCATAAAAAGACTGCGGCTTCTGTCTTGAGTTCCTTTGTTCATTCTCTCTTTCTCCCTATCATCTTTGGGGGGTACTTGGTTGTCATGTCATGAGTACCCTCAGGTAGCCTAGGAAGGGTATTGGTGAGGAGGATCTGAAGTCTCCAGCTAACAGCAAGCAAGAAACAGAAGCCTGCTAACAACTAGATGAACATACTTGGAAGCAGATCCTCCAGTCCCAGTGACCACAGCTCTGAGTGACACTTTGACAACAACCTCTGAGATGACTCTGGGCCATTGTCTCCTGGATCTCTGATCCATAGAAACTGTGCAGCATAATTATTTGTTGCCTGTAGTGCAAAGTATTGGAGGCAATTTGTAACAGGTCACAGCACATGAAGAGGAATATGAAATGAGGGAGAGCTGGGTCATAGGAGCAAATCAACACTTTTCTATACTCAGACATCAAAAGTCATAGACTCTGAACTGGAAAACAGAACTGAAGACCTTGAGCCAACAAGACCTCAAAAGTCATGCACAGTGTGAGATTATGGCATCACTCAAGCCGGGGCCTGTGAAAACCACCCCTTCTCAAAACCTCTCCCCTTCTGAGCACAAAGCATGTGTCACCTGATGGTGTTTCCACACAAGGCCTGCATTTCTGTCCTCATAAAGTGAGGGGAGTTGGCTGGGTTCTTGAATAATAATTTCAGCAGCAAAGGAAGAGCAGCTCATTTATTAGCTCCCCAAGGAGTGT